TATGGCTGATTTTGAAGAATTTTTAAAAACTGCAGTTAGTCTCAGATGTTGTTACAAGGATGTCAGTGGCTATGCGCAGGACCTTACTGCATCTGTTTTACAAGGTCTGTGCTTGTTATTTTAAATAAGTCTAACATTTCTTAAAGATATTTTATGGAAATAAACAATCCTAAAGCAGGAGTTATAACACGGTGCTGGAGCAATATTCCTTCTCTAATATTGTTCACAAACTTCTAAATAAAATTATTATTTGTACTTTTTTTGTTTAGTAAATAGGAAGACATAGACCAGGTTTTCAGACATAACTCGATTTATATCACATGGTAGCATTTCCTGCTAATAGTAATGACAATAGTGATCAATTCTGCAAATTATAGCCAGAATGCCACAAGCACAAATAAAGCTCAGTTCTACACAGAGTCACAAGTCTGCCCATGTGATTTTGTGGAAGCTAGGACCTCTAAACTAGAAACTCCAGTGTAAGCCAGAATATTCGAAATTCTGCAAATCCCATTCTGAATTCTTGCATAAAGAAAATATATGGAATGATTGAGTGCTCATGCATTAGGTTGTAGTTCTCATGAGATCTTAGCCACATTTTACTTGCAACCCACAGCTAACAGTACCTGCAGTATATTGGGAGCAAGGATGGTTTGCAAAGATAGGAAGATATGGAGAACTACATCGAATTGGATTGATATAGCTCTAGCTATATATCCCTTTTCTTACCTCATGTATTTAATTCATCTTGCTTCTTGTTTTCTACTCTTTTCTCTGTTTTGCACAATGTTGCTTGTCACAAATGAGCACACTGTGTATGTATGTATGTATGTTGCTTAAAATATTTTATAAAACTGAAACATTAAACGGGCCTAAACTCTCATGAGAACTACAACCTATTGCATGACCACTCCAGCATTCCATATATTTTCTGCAGGCTTGCATAAATTCAGAATGGGATTTGCAGAATTTTGAATATTCTTGCAGATTTTTGAGGAATTGTTTTAAAATCATCTAGGCCACAATATGGGAATGACTAGTGGTAGCCAAAGAATCTGAAATGTTTGCTGACCCCTTGCCTAAACCAGTTTAGTATGATAGGCAACCCAGATTTGTTTTCTATTATTGATTATATGAAAGTTGATAATTTTTTCTAACCCATGAAGATTTTCCATTTTGTATTTGATATTTTTCACCATCACTGCACTGAATTTAAAACAGGAAAGCATTGATTTTTTTTTCTAATGTAGCTAGTCTCATTTAACAGCTAAGTCATTTCATTTTAATACAAACATGCAGTTTTCATTTAGGCATACTTGGAAAACCATTGAGATCTTAATTTATTTACTAAGTTATATACTAAATGTGTAAGCTGATAGTTGCAAGGAGAAAGCCAAATCCAATTACTATAGGTTTGTTTGTTTGCTTGTTTTTACTATCAGTGGTTTTGGATTAGAGCTGAAATTACTTACATGGCATTGTCTCTCAGAGATTATCCAAATTTCCTGGCATATATATACAAGGTTGTTCTGCAGATAATTCTATAGCGAATACTTGCTCTTGGGTCATTTTAGAGCCATTAAAGAAATAAGATAAGTGTATGTGTCTCATGTTGTGAATTGAATTAGAAATCAGTTTGGTATTTTCTATATTCATTAAATAAATTTGCACAATTGCAGTAAAACTAATATCCCAAAGAAGATTCTTTGATTTAGCATTAAAATCTCAGATATGGTATAGGAGGGAGATGCTCTAATGCAATAAATTAGTAACATTTAAACTATATTTCACTCACTGGCTCACATATCCATGATTTAATGGATTAATGCATGGGTGTCAAACTAGTGGTGTCACATTGCCATTATGTGACGTATCATGACATTTTTTTCTCTGGAGCTGGGGTGGCCAAGGCCTGCATGTGACGCATCTGGCCTGTGGGCCACCAATTTGACACCCTTGCATTAATGGAACATCAGATATCCCTGTTTGGTCTGTTAATTCAAGATTTTACCATAGTAGTGTAGTTAACAGAAATGTTAAAGAACTTGTGATGAGAATTTACTAACTCTGATCATAGTTTACCTCTTTACTGCTATATTTAGAAATTTTGAAGAGTCTTCTTCAGGTTGAGCTTAACTGGTGACCATGGTCTAATCCCTGAACATTTATTTTTCCATTTTGAAACAGCTTTTTTAAAAAAAACATTTAGTCAGTTAAAAAAAGAACAAACAGTCCCCCCCCTCTTTCTTTCTTTCTTTCTTTCTTTCTTTCTTTCTTTCTTTCTTTCTTTCTTTCTTTCTTTCTTTCTT